TTGACTATTCCTGTCATCATCACGCATAGACCAGTAAACCGAAATGTGCACATCCCACACAGAAATAACAACTGCACCAACTCCAGCACCCAAAACAAACTCATTTAAAATGGCTCTCTTCAATGTGAGATCACGGTCAAGTGAATGATCTGAAATGATTTTATCTTGTCTGCAAATCTAGATTTTATGTTTTTAACTGAATCCTGGTTGCAAATGAATGACTATAGCCAGCTAGCTGAACTGTGTCCGCCTCAATATGATTGTTTTAGTCAACCGAGGGTCAGTGGTCATGGTGGTGGGCTAGTGAGCGTGTATAGGAAATATTTAAAATGTCATCAAGTACGCTATGATGAATTTAACTCCTCTGAAGTTCTCACTCTTAAAGTTGGAGGGCTGCAACCTATCATATTTATTATAATTTATCACCCTCCAAAACCACCTGGAGGATTTTTAACAGAACTTCCTGAATTTTTATCTACTCTGGTTTTAAATTATGACAGAATTGTTCTTTGTGGCGATTTTAATATTCATGTTGATGACCCCAACAATGTTAATGCAACTGACTTTTTAAATATAACCACTTCTTTTAACTTCAAACAACATGTCAAAGGGCAAACCCATAATACACATGGTATTATTGTCTTTACACTTGTTAAAGCACTTTGTAACTTAAAGATTATTATAACCGTGGTCATACACTGGACTTGGTTTTTACCCTGGGCGTCAGCATTTCCTCTGTGGACATGACCATATCCATAATAACCGTTTGTACAACTTTTAATCGTCAGTGGGTTTAGACTGGGTTATTGTACGTCTGGACGTGATACATATACCACAGAAATTTCATACACGTAGTTGAAACTTTGCCCGGGGGCTGCTCTGTAGGGGGCGCTAGTGAGCCATTTTGCCAGGCCCATGCGCGAAACCCATAAAATACAATATTTTTCCTGAATTTTCCTGAGTTCCTGAATTATGTGCAAAGTTTGGTGAGTTTTCCCCCAAAACTGAGATTACTTTGCGAAAGGAAGGAAGGAAGAAAGAAAAAGCAATTCCTTCAGTTCCAATAAGGACCTCACACGTTTCGTGCTCAGGCCCTAAATATTGTCATACATTATATTACTGTAAAATCACAGTTGCATTTAAGCAGTATTTTAATGTAATGCTGGTCAAGGTGGAGCTAATTTAATTTCAGTTTAATACTTGAGTAAAAGCTACTTTCCACCACTGTTTCAGCACCACAAAACCAGACGTTTTCCTCTCATCTATATTAAAGCTACATCGTAGGTCATAACACATTTTTGATAAGTATGTTCTATAGATCATCTTGCAGACTATGATATAATTCACCAGGGTTGTCATAGAGTGACCCACCATAACAGCAAATTGAGGCGATTCCACTTTGATTTTCAGATCTCATTTTCGGCCATTTGTTGTCAGGCGTCAGGTACTACATACTTTGACTTAAGTAAGATAGATGGTTTGGTCATCAATTCAAACAGTCTGCAGCAAGTATGCGGTAATTACAACAAAAATGAAATTATTTTAATCACAATTCCACTCAATGTGCACATTTATTTTCCTAGAAGTCACACAGAAGCCCACACGTACAGTAATTTGAGAACTAATTACATCAGCCATAATTAGCATAAGATAGATGAACAGTCACAATCTGTCATTTTAAAATGACTTAATGATTAATAAATATCTGAAATACAAATTAGCTCAGGCAGACATTAGAGTTGCAAGTTCAAGAAGCAAGAAATTAATAAGGGAACTCTGTCAAGGTCATAAAACATGAATCCCTATATATAATTTGTGGGGTCCAAAGACTGTGCTGAACCTTTATCATTACTGTGTTAGTAGTACAGTATGCAGCCCTAACTCTCAGGTGAGGTAAAAGCTTGAGGTGCTTGAAACACATACAAGCTATTAAAGTGCTTTTAAAGCTGGAAGGTTTAGCAGTAATGATCCATATATAGTGGCATCATCACCCACCACAAGAGGCTCAGCCACAGAGACCAACTATAATCCTTTTAGAATGGCTTTCTTCTGGTGACATTTTAGCGCCTCCTGCAGAAGACGACACAGAGCTCTGTATCACAAAACAACATCACATGTTGAAAACTTTAGTTAAGATTAATTGACAGTCTTTAAAGATTTAGGGAAAAGTAAACTTTTCACATTTTCACATTAGAGATAATGATTTATTAAATGCTATGTGTTGCTCTTTGAAGAAATTACACAAACAGAAAAGCGGGTTAAAAGTTGTATATTCAAAAGGATGAAATTAGATTTTGTATTTGTAATAATATTATGTAGAAACATATATGTGTGTGTGTGTGTGTGTATGCCCATAGAAAATTCCAATACACCATCCATATTAAATATAACAAAATGGTTTAATTTAAACCATCTGGAAATTATTTCTAATTCATTTAGTGCAGAAACTGCATTAAAGTGTAAAAACATTTTTTATGTAAAAGAAACATGGATGACAATGCAGAAGATAAGGAAGAGAAGGGGTCCAAGAATAGACCCCCTGTGGGTCACCACAAGAAACTCACTTCATATCAGATGTCCACCCACTTACAATTACAAAGTGTCTGATGTTTAATTTAATTAGATAGCCACAGAAAAATTTATAAGCAAGACATTGTGATCAACAGGGCTTATTAAAACTAGACCACAAACATTCAGTATCGACCACCTCATTAACAGCCATACACGTGAACAGATATTTTATCTAAATCTAGTGTGCACGTAAAAAAGAAGCTCTGCTACTGAAAATGCCTATAAATCAAAATCCTTTCAAATATTTCTGAAAAACATAGAAGGACAGAGACTGGACTATATACAAAATAATTTGGTCTTCAAATTTAAAGATGGTGACAATGTTTTTATTTTCAGATCAGTGGGAAACATTTTAGTTCGAAATAATTTGCTGAATACATATTTAAGAGTTTTGACAACTGATAGACTTTGGTGACCAACATAAGCGTAACTTCATCATGACCTGCTGCTGAGGGTTTTTTTTTTTTTTTTTGTCTATAGTACCAATAAACTCGAACTCTGAAGAGGATCAAATTCTTTTCAAATAATCAACTGCTGAATACTTGAAGCTATGTATATTTGATTAGAACATATGTCTAGTTATCTTTTAGACACAACAATGATTTTGAGTCTTGCGGCATTTTCTATTTTGTGAGAAACAAAGAGACACAAGTTAGACAATTTCCTTAATTATTTCATATGGGATTGCAAACAGCTCCCCTGTCATCTGTATCCATTTCAGAAAACATTTTGGGTGATCTTGCCATCAGCATGGCTTCTCGGGGTAATAAAAGAGATGCCGCTCAGCAGTTAATTCCTCCTGCTGCTCATTAGCACTACTCTTACTTGAGGACAATAAAAGCAACTCATAATAAATTACCAAATAAACACGTGTACTAGGAAATAAGCGTAATGACAAACGCAGGCAGCCGTTAAAAGGAATGACATCAGTAATTAGCCAGTGAAAGAAGCTGAGACATTAATATATACTGTGAGGTGAATGCATTAAAAAGGGCCTTACAGAACAGTAAGTGCATGCATTATTAATACGGACGTCCCAGTTTGATACCATTCATACTCTTCTACTACCCACTGAGATACCAGGCCTTTGATTGACACACACACCTCCCTGCCTCATCTGATAATAGCTTTTTTAAACAAATGACAATATCTTATGGTCTTGTGGCCCCCATGCAGGCAACGCGCCATATGTGGTTTTGCGTGTTTTGGCCCTTTACCTACAAATCTCTTAGATTGTTGATACTTATTTTTCTGACATCAGGACAGCCACTGGTTCCTGTTCTGTTGTGCGTTATGAAAACAAAATTGCAAAAGCAGAAGATATGTTTAAGAGGGGTGTTGCTTGGTTGGTTGGTTATGGTGGATAAAAGTTATTTTACTGTCATACGGTCGGTCTGTTCTGAGAGCTCCTATTTGCTGGAATGTCTTCAGTTTATGGTGGGAAGCTTTTACAGATGGCTTCTAAACATTGTTGCATTCACAAGCTACAGTAAAATCAAAGCCAGACAAAAAATAAGCAAACACGCATAATGCGCAAAAGCATCATCTTATTTTGGCTGTTTCTTGGATGGAAGCAAAATTCTCTCGACCAAATTCCCTGCAAATACTTTGACACCCTATGGAAGGAAGAAATACAAGCAGTTGTAGCTGTAGCTCAGTTGGTTAAAACGTGCAGTCTCCAGCCTCTCCTGAACACATGTCGAAATGTCCTTGAGTAAAATACTGAACACCCAAATTGCCCAAATTGTCTGTTTGGAAATATGTCTGCCAAATGAATGTAATACTATAAGAGTAATCTTATGTACAAAATGAAAGGATATGTTTTAGAAAATGGTCAGTAGAAGCGTAGCTTAAGTTTATAACATTTCTATTCAATGGGAAAAAATATACGTTAAACGTTAAAAGTTAAAAGATTACCCTGACTTTAAAGTCTGATTAAAATATGCTGGTAGTATACAAATGAAAAAATAAAGCTTTAGGACAATTGATACAGTACTGGATATACTGTAGATATATACTATGTAAAAGTTGGTTGATTTTGTTGTTGTTGGTTTTTGGTGACGTGCTGCTTTAGTTCAGAAAGTTCTGCCAATAGCAGGCTATAGGAAAGTAGAAAGAGGGGTCTGTCAGCATGTCTGCCTAACATCCAAGGGAGCACTATAGATTTCATCACGCCACGAGAGCAGTGGCTTTTTACCTATGGGATAAGTCTGTCCAGAGTGATTATAGTGTAGCATATCGGAATATAGATGACAGATGGAAAAGAATAGACTACCAAGTACTGATGCACAGTACCATTACAGTCACTGTTTCAAAATGAGATTTAAACTTTAAAAACAATTTAATCTAATGGTTGAACTGACAGCAAAATGACGTGTTTTCATTGACTTTGTATGGCTCAATGTATATGGAACACCAGTAGTCACCTATTTATGCTTACGATTAGTCATTTATTAATATTCAAGTACTGTAAATGTGCACATGCCAGCTATGAACCAGATACACAGAAATTATTTTGTTAGTCTTCTCAACAATCAGGGACGCCGCCCGTCGATTGATTTATGGGACGCTGTCAAAGGTAGTCAACAAGGCAATGAAGCTCATTCATTTTTCATACGTATCACTGAAACCCGAGAGTCTGATCTTTCTGAAAGTGACAGCATAAAATTAGGTGATAAACTGATTCCTGTCCCCAGGACATTTAGTTTGTTGATTGGCAACATCTGAGCAGACACGCCATTATCCTCTTCATTTCCTATCCAAATGAAAAAAGGAAATATAATGACAGTTTAGCCAGTGAGCAAACACATGGAGAGCCAGGAAGTATTAAGCAAAGTTCACTCCAGTAAGAATATTGCTTATTTATGCATCTATAGAGTTAAAACTTGTTCAAGCTAGCAGCCATATGTCAATTTCAGATGGACAAGAAATCAAAGCTACATACTTAACTATTGCAAGCAGATCAATCAGTTCCCACAGGCCTGCTCAGTGTGCAAGGAGTGGATAAATCCATAGCCGTAATCATTAAACAAATTACTGAAATGTTTGTGAAGAAAACTAGAAAGAAAACTGGACCTGTGCCTGGTTTAAAAGCTAAAATGTGGTTGCATCTTTGCCAGGACACAACAGCCCAGAGCTCCAACAAGTCCAGCTTAATCGATAAAATAGGTCATTTGTCATTGCTTTCCAAACAACCCATGATACAACAATGACTCATATGAGTGGTTTCTAATCTGCCATCTCTGGTTAACCATTTGGCTAGGTTTATACATATAAAACTATGTGGGTAAGATTGTGTTTATATTACAGAAGCGTGAGATGCTTGAACTGCCTTTTCTGGTGACACCAGACTATACCATTAGGGTGATTGTAAAGCATCTCAGCTAGACAAATGGGTGTAGTTTTAACTGAAAATCCTTTCCAGTGTAGCTTTGATTACAGTACTTTTGTTGTAGTGTCTTTGGAAAAAGCTGCGATTAATCTCTGAACAAATAAAGCCATCCAGTGATGTCCTTCAGAAGTAATTGCACACTCAAGGTGGTTGCTGTAGCTTTCTAATTCAACTGTTTCTCTCATTATGCATTTAGTTCAATATCCTGACCTAAAATCCAAAGCATCCTTTGAAGCATTCATTGTGCGGTCTGACAGATCACATCCTCCGAGCCACAGCGCTGTAAGTGGACAAAATGTAAGTCAGACACGAGCAAAACCTTGATTGTCTTTGCAGGAACATGAGCCTGAGGCTTTTCTCAGAAGTAGAGCAGTTATTTTTTTCTCTGTCTGCCTTCGCTTCATCCTGAAATCACTTGTCTCTACATCCACCACGCGCTACATTGGAAAAACCACTGGCACAGTTACAGTGCCACCTGTCTAGACAGACAGAGCAGTTAGGGCAGTATTAACTTTCCTTTCAAAATGTATTTGTTGTTGTAAATTAGTTGTATATAAACATAATATCTAGGATGCAGAGTTGCATGGGGACTACAGGTCTGAATCTCTCTTATCCAGTTCAATACTGAAGGATGAAAAGACTAACATTTTGTAAATGATAAACCAAAGGTTATGTACTGTATATAAAGTTGATGACTTCATGAGGAATATATGTTGCGCTTAAACATGCCAGTCATTAATATTTTTGTCCTCCATGCCATGTAACCATGGTTATAAATAATATGAATTTATATAAAGTAAGATAAAACTAAAGTTTCTGATATGGTTTTGTGAGATCAGATTAATTAGTTTGTTATTTGATGATCTGTGATTTCTCTTAATTTTCTAATGTCAAATGCAGAAAGAACTTCCATGCTCATTTGCATATTGTTTCAACCTTGCTAAATGCCACCTATACAGTATCATAATCTTTTTTAATGTTTTAAGTGGAAAATGGCCAGGGAGTTATGTGCCTGTTCCTAGTAGCCGTGCAGGATTTCTGTGACGTCAGCAGCACAGGAAGCTGGTGCCAGGGCATGTCCTGCTGCGTGGCGGAGGCAGACATATGTCGCAGCAAAGAGCTGTGGCCAGAAGTCACTCTTCATAGAAGAACAGAGAGAGAGGGATGGCTGCAGTTCAGTCATGTGACAAGGGAAAACATGCACCACTTTGTGTGTCATATGTTCAGTGGTGATTTCAATAACTGCCACAACACATTTACCACAATACATCATTTCATATTATATATATATATAAATAAACAGCTGTGGTTTAGACATAAATACTGCTCCAAGCATCTTATATGAATCTTGTTGTTACAAAGCACTAGACATTGCAAGATTTGAGCACTATACACTTGACAAAACGCTACAGGGTTAAAGTTGACTATACAGATTAACGCAGCGTTTCTGCATCTGTGTTTGTAAACAGATATGAGTTCTGTATATTTTACCCGTGTGAATGTAATCTCAGCCTTGAGAAGCTAAGCTTTCCACTCAATGGCTGTAATCTTCTTTGGGACTGTAGACTATTACTGTGAGCTTCTGTGGACAACACTATGGAAGTACAGCTTACTGACAGAGTCATGGCTGACACACATTTACAAACAACCGGGTTATAGTCCAACATACATTATCCATACTGGGCAATATGCTCATATGTATCATGAGAGTCCATTTGCTTATGACGTGGCATTTCTAACCTAACCAGAAAACACATTCTTGAATTCAGTCAAATGAGCTTCAAATATTTGCAAACACTGGTGACTGCACATTTAGTGTGGACAGAACAGAAGGCACATTTACATTTAGCTGACTTAGTGTGGACATAATCTAAAGCTAGAGTATATCAGTCTGTCAGAAGCATTTTTTGTTATATTTGTTGAAATTTTCTTCACATCTTGACAGCAATGAATAAATCAAATGTTTTGATTGGCTGTCGCAGGACTGTAATAAGCTGGCCTATCTGCCTGTGTACCTACCAACCTGCACACACTCTGCCCGTGCACTCACTGCACATGAAGTTGTGTTTTGTCTCTCTTCCTCGTTTGACACACACACACACACACACGCTGAAGCGCACCGACGCCCCCGATCTTAAGGGTTAGGGTTAAAACTTTGGATTTATTCACGCTCTTTAAAAAGATTTGTTGAAAGTTTCTTTCTTTTCACATTTTTATTTACAGCATTATATGTTGACATAGTACATAGTTCTATGTAAAATTAGAGCTTGAGCTCCCCCATATAGCCAAAACAGTATCATCCTACTTTCATAACGGCACTGCAAAGATTCGACTGTGAGATTGATAGTCGAATCAAGCTCCGCCTATCGAAGCATCGAATCTTTGACTATTTGGGGTCAGCCCTAGTGCAATTTATCATGTTGAGACTACAAAGACAAAAGACATAGAGTTCTTGGAGAGACATCATGGAAGAAGTGGGATGCAGCCAGGAGGAGGCTATGGCGGCAGGCTTTTCTCCCAGCCTTTGTGTGGCTGTGTGGAATGGGTATAAATCTTTTAGATGTGGTCGTATAACACATCTTACGACTTGTTCATTCCAAACCTAATGAACTCTTTAGTCTGCATTTGGCTCCTAGAAAGATGAACACTGCTGGTGACAAATTCATATTCTATGTAACCCACTGTAATGTTTCATTTTATTCCCTACAACCATATGCTTTGGACAGTACTGTACATGCACTGCACACTGACAGGGCGGTCGTGACTTTGAGCTACAGCTGAGCCTGTGGTAATGCCCCAGGCTCATTTGGACTGCGTTATCAGCCTGCTCTATGCTAATTGAGCTGTTGAGATTGTAGTTTGCAGGGGGCTTTACCCTGACAGACCCTTGGGCTAGTATGCTATGTACAAGGCATACAAAAACACAAGTACAAACATAAACACACCTGCACATACACACACCGACACCTTAGTACCTGCTGGGGAACAAACTGATTGCGCACCGTTGCAGATGCTGGAATAGGTAGCAGCACATACAGGAGTAAGGCAATCACGCTGACATATTTGCTGTGGGACAGTGAGGGGAAGGAGAAAATTAGTAGATTTATACGATCGTCTCAAGCTCCTCCGTGACTAACCTGCATAAGATCCCTGCACACGGTATGGATGCATGCAGCCAGCCGGCCTCCACTGCAGTCTAATCCATCTTAGTCCAAAGAAGTTGCCTTACATTGAGCTGAAACCAATTCCTAGTAAAGACGCTGATAACTGAATGTGATGTGAATGTGAATGTGAATATTTATCATTAACATGTGAGACCAGGCATATTAAAGACAAGATATGAATTAAATATGAAAAGGAATAGCTGCCAACTAATGGATATTAATTCTGTTGCATGAAGATGTAGGAATTCACAAAGTGTGTGACAATTTCTCTTTCAATGAAAAACTATGCATGAAAGAACTTTTGTTATTTATAGCTACATCACTGTTTGGTGATAGAGGAAGTCAGAGCAAACAAGGGCATTGACAAGTGAAACAAGACAACAGAAAGAGAAATGTTTTCATGGGCATGAGCATGGTAGAGTCAGAGGCACAAAGTCAGTGGATTTAGCCGTGACGTCTGAAATCGTAGGACGCTCATACATCACAAGTCCGCTGAACTGCTTTCAAGGACAAGGAGACATGCCAAATAAGATCACAGGCCTGTTTGCAGTCTCAGGATACCTGACCCCTCCAATCCTCGGCTCTAAGGGCCCAGAACTCAGGACGGAGTGTTTTTTCCCCAGAGAGAGAGGGTCAAGAGGTGGCCACCTACCTATCAGCCTGAGGAGGCCAACAGCTTTTATAACAAGATCACACCAGAGTCAGATTACAGGCAGAAATGTTCTTTTTTAAAATCACTTTCAAATAAATTAGTTCATAAAAAACAGAATAAAAAGAGAATAATAAACCCTATATATATATATACACACACACACACACACACAACATAATCTAATATATTTATGAACTCACTCATACTAATGTCTTGCTACTATCAATGATTCACAATTTAAAGTCTTTTAGAGTAATGTGAAACAGTAAAGATTAGGTAGAGTAACTCAAATCAACAATCTTTGTTGAAACTAATGACTATATGTAGAGTAGCATCAGTCCATCAGTGTCACATTAATTATAATACCTTGGTATAATTAATGGGAGAGAGATCAAGGTTGAGACTAATGTCAAATGTCTCAATCTATTTCTGGCAGGATTGTTAGTAGTTGCTTTTATTTGAATACCTATTTCTAATAAGGATTTGTAAGTTTTAACTAATAGCTTTATTGAACGTTAATAAATAGTTTATTAATGGCTTGTATTAATAAAGATATATGGGTTTCTCACTGTCTAAATAAGCAGTGGGGTTTTACATCAAAGTCTGCAGTTGATGAATAAGTTCCTAATTAATTGATTTTTGCCTGATGTTCTGCAGCTCTATATCTAATATTTGGGTACCAATTTCTGACAGGATACCCTTTAGGAAGGGTTTATAAGTTGTAACTAATGGCTTTACTAATGCTTTACAGATCAGTCAAATGCCATTAATAAAACATTTGGGTTATCCTCCTCCATATCTGGAACAGAATCAATTTGAATTTGATTTAATAACAAAAAATTATGTACAGTGGCAGATGACCTACAAACCTTTGATGATAGCTTATTAAAAACTACTTCATATAAATTATTATTCCTTTCATACAAAGGAATTTACTAATGTGATATTAAATAGAGCATCTCTGAGTCAATATCCCTATTGTGGAAGAAGGCAACATTGAAAATTATTTATAATAAATGTTCTATTGCTCATTCCAACAGAATCCCTCAAAGCTTTAGCTCAGAGCTGGAAAAGCAACTATTTCTTGTTTTGTGCTTTAGGAAAGTATGTCTTTGTGCAGGAAGAAATTCAGTGAATCCATTCCACAAGTGACAATGTCATGCTATTGGCACAATAAAGGGTACAGGTTTTCTTGTCTTTTCGTTTCGGTGGTGATTCATTGATTTAAAAGACCGCAATTTTAAAGGGCAAGTCAATACTAAATCACATGGAAGAAAGCTGTTGCTAAGCCATTTCCTCCTTGGATCTTCCAGGCACAACCCCAATCAGTGATGTCACAGCACATGTTTTGTCTTTTGACAACTGAAAAACTCTACAATTGAGTGCTTATTTTAACACTACCTGAGCTTTACTCCACCTGAAGAATAAAAGACTGTACGGCACTTTCTAATGAAAATCTCAGGGGAAAAGTATCAGACACTGCACGGTGCTAGAAAATATTG